TGGCGGTGAGCTGGGCCGCCGCCTGCGGGGGTGTTCGTCGGGGTCGCTGCCCGCTGGGCTCCTTCCACCGTTCGGGCTCTGGTCCGAGAAATATAGTATATTACAGGGCCTCATTAAGCAACCGCGTGGGGGGAGGGGCGGTATTTGGAACGGAAATCCAGCTGCAGTTCTGTGATACCGACCGTCTGTTAGCAGATCCCGTGGGAAAACTTGCTCTTGCTGTGGTGCGTGAGAGGAGGTAGAGGAGTTTCTCCCATTCTGCCCAGGTTCCGTGTCAACTCTCTTGCTGTGGTTTTGTCCAGTGGCAGGGCCCCCCCGGGGCCTGGGCAAATCCTTAGCCTCTGCAGTTGCTGTGGAAGCTGTGCCTTGTTTCTTATGCTCTGAGGTTGCAGCAGAGTGTCAGTATTATCTGGATAGATGTGGCAACTGAACGATGCACAGGTGGTTAAAGCTGTGTGAGAAGTAGCACAGCCTCATGTGAGACCTTTATCAAAGGGCAGGCAGGGTGACAGTGAGTATGGTCTCTGAGGGGTGGGGTCATGGCCCAGACAGAAAATTCTGAAGGTGGTGGGTAATAGGAATGGAGAGCCAATACTCACCAAATTTGGTAGTATTAGAAGAGGGACACTTGGTGAATTTAGTAGATTAGTTGAAAAAAAAAAAAAGATACTTTAAAAATGTGTAGTGAATGTCAGGAATTTGCTGCTACAGGAAGTTGTAGAAGTGGACAGTATTTAACAGATTCCAAAAAAGGTTCAGCCAAACTAAAGTACATCAGGTTTATAAACAGCATCTGAAAATGACTAGGCAAGGATTTGCCTTCTAACATTCCTAATGCAGTAGCTCTGTCAGCTGGAGGAGTATGAGGGAAGCAGACCATAGACAGTGGCCAGGGTCATGTCGTTTCCTTAAACAGCATTTCTTATTGCTGTTGTCCAGACAGAATAGGGCCTGGTGTCTAGAGGAATTGTGGACTCTAACCAGTAGGGCATTTCTTGTGCTCTTATCTTTCTAGCTTTCCTTATTTTCTGTAGAGGCATGTGTGTAAAATAGCAGCGTTTTTTAAGAATAGCGTTGCAACAGCTGAGAGGGCTTGAGGAACTGAGGGTGGGAGGCACTGTTTCTCTACCAACCCATAGTTCCCTGACCAAGCAATGAAGGAAGGGGTCTTTTTAAAACTTGGCCTAGTCCTCAAAATATAGCAGGGTCCTATCATCAGAGGTGCTAATGTTCTTTTAAATTCGCTTGGGAGAGTGTATACTGCAGTTAAGCAACCTGGCAAACTCGGGTTTGTAGACTTCTGGGCTCAAGCTCACTGCAGATCCCTACAAGGCTGCTTTTGTGCCCTAGTTCTGAGATATTTTTGGCTGTAGTGATTGCTTACTTTTTCTCTAGTTAAGTGTGGACTGAGAGACAGGAAGTGTTTTGAAAGTAAAGCGTATGCTGCTGCATGGCTTTAAATAAGGTAGTTTGATAGAGACCAAGTCTGAGATAACATATGCTATGAAAGACCATTCAAACTTTTTTTGTCTATGGTTAAAACAAGACAGTAGGTTTATTTTAAATAGAAATGAGCAAACTGGGAGTTAGTAGAAACTCCATGAACACTGAGCCAAACAGGGAATTCCAGTACTATTCAAACATAACTGATGCTTGCATACTTATTTTCAATCTGGGAGCAGAGATCTATTAGATGTAGTGCTTCCTTTACTTGTAAAGAAGCACAGTGTGTGATGTTTTAATCCATTTCCAACTTAGTTGCATGCTGTTAGACCAGGACATGCTGAAACAGGTGCTGAGTCTTCGGAACGCAGTGGAGGTAAGCAAGGAAACCGAGTGGCAAAACACAGTGTGGGTTTCACCAGTCCTGATTTTGAGGGCTTTGGGGAACTCTTACTCACAACTGGAGGCAAGGATATCTGCCGATACATCATCTGCAGTTTCTGGGACTACAGTTGCATCTGGTAGCTATTCCAGTGGGGATTTCACTGCTGTTGTGGTGTGTGTTAGTAGAACCTCTCGCATTTGGTAAGAATGACGTAGGGTGATACCTGCTTTTGAGATGGAGCCAACGGTTTGGGAAGAAGAACAGAAAACACATGTGCTAAATTAGCAGAAGCAGCTTAGTCCCAGAACATGTAACAGGGTTTGCAAATACTATGATGATTGTTTGCAAATACGGTAATGATTGTTTCCAGGACTCATTGTATCACTGTTACGATCTTTTGCCACCTACTATAAGAAAGTCTTAATGAGGAAAGAGCTTATAAAAAAAGGGGGGGGTGTGAAGCTACTGAGGGAGGCAGGCAGGGAACTTTGAAGGGGACTGCCAGAATCCAGTGTTTTCAATAGTCTGATCTATTCCACATCAGGAAATCTCTCTGTCTTTGTGATAGTGATTCTGTTCGACCCAGTGTCTTGAGTAGTATGTGCAGATTAATAGTCCTTTATTGCAGTCTGGGAAAAAGGGAATGAATGTAATATTTTAAAACGGCTGATACTGGTTCCTGGTTGCAGGCTTCATTGACCCAAGGCATCCCTTCATAACCACATTATTGCCTACTGGAGACTTCTGCAGAACAGAAGGGAACGGTCAGGAAGCAAAGATGATCTCCTTCAAGCAACTGCCTCTTGAAGCAAAGGCTGCAGTGGCTGCAGGAGTGGTTTTCTTCTCCACAATGATATCACGAAGTTATCTGGCAGAACGACTTGAGCTCAGGACGCGGCGTTGGCTTCTAAGGCTGCAGATGGCACTATTTGCTAATGCGCTCATGTTGATAGGATCTCTTCGTATTTGGAAAAGCACAGTCACCACGTTCTCCAGATCTTCAGCTGCCAGCTCCTTCTGTTTCATGCCGTGGAAAATAGCTGTATTCATGTTTCTAGCTTTGGCTCATTCGAGTTTCTTTACATTTCTATTTCTTGTTGCAGAAGAGCCCTATTTCTTTTCTTTAGCTGCCTACACTTGCCTGGGGGCTTATATCATTCTTATCTTCTTCCTCTTCACTTTAGGCTGTGTAGAGCAGGCTTACAAGTTCTTAGCTGGGAGAGGTGCTAAGGCAGGCACTGGCAACAAGAACAGCAGAACAGCAATGAAACCAGTTTTGGCAGTCATGCTGACTGTTGTGTTGACTGTTGTTGGGCTATTAAATGCTTCCCAGCCTCCCACTGTGAATTCAGTGGAGATTCCAGTTCACAAGCTGCCTTCAACAATGAACAATCTGAAAGTGGTGTTGCTTTCAGATATCCATCTGGGGCCTACGGTTGGGAAGACCAAGCTTGCCATGATTGTGAAAATGGTTAAGGCTTTGAAACCAGATATCACTGTGATTGTTGGGGACCTAACTGACTCTGAGGCAGAGGTCATACGACCTGCTGTTGAGCCTCTTGCAGAACTTAACTCCCCTTTGGGGACTTACTTTGTCACAGGAAACCATGAGTATTACACATCAGATGTTAGCAATTGGTTTGAGCTGTTAAAATCATTTAACATTCGGCCACTCCATAATGAGAATGTCAAGATTGTTTCACCAAAGAGCACTGATGACTGGTTCTGCCTGGCTGGTGTTGATGATATTGAAGCAGATGTATTACGCTACTCAGGACATGGGATGGATTTAAAAAAAGCTCTCAAGGACTGTAACAGTGAGCATGCTATAGTGCTGTTAGCTCATCAGCCGATTGCTGCAAAGTGGGCCCTTCAGGAGAGACCAGACATAAATTTAATTCTCTCTGGCCATACTCATGGAGGGCAGATGTTCCCACTAAATGCTGGAGCTTATTTTCTGAATCCATTCTTTGTTGGCTTGTACAAAGTTGGACAGAACACCTTTGTCTATGTCAGCCCGGGGACGATGTACTTTGGAGTACCCATGAGGCTGGGCAGCAGAGCTGAAGTAACGGAGATAATTCTACGTTCTCCTTGAGGAGTTTTCTGTTTGACAGATTTCTACCATCATTTTTGGTCAGTACATTGGCTCTTCTGCTCTGAAAGCAAATCTTTTTTCAAGGAAGCCAGAGAAGATGTGTTGGGGTGGACTTCAGCAGGTTCTGTGAAGTTTGAGCAGAAAACACTGACTGTATCTTGGACCTATGAAACAAATCAGGGGCATGTTAAAATACTGAAGAAATTAATTCTTTGATCTCATGATTACTGAAATTCTGCATTTAAAGATAACACTGATGTCATGGAGATAATGTGTGTCCCATGCATGTTTAGTGATATCTGTGTCCTGCTGCTACTTCATGTTCTACTGTTTATTATCCATCAGGCAGCTGCCTTATCAAATCTCAGACAGGTGAAGTTCTGATCTCTTGCACTGAAATCGCTCATGCATGTTTTGTGAAAGGGACCACAGAATGTCCACTGAGTGTGTAGACTCTAGAAGCCTTATGCTAGGAGTGTTACGGGAAGGGTATAGTTTTGGGTTTTTATTGAGGCTGGCTATCTTTGTCCTGCTAGCTGTCTGCAGATTGCTCTAGAGCTTTGAGTCTGTGCTGCCTGCCAGTACAGTAAGTTGCCAGACATCAGTTCCTGAAATTCAGGTTTTTCCCGTTAAAAAGCTGGGGAGACTAATATCAAAAGGTGAGAAGTAGCTGTCTTTCTGCAGACATTTCCCCCAGAATAACTGGGCTTGTAGTAATTGCTTACTGAAAATAGCTTTAATAAAAGCAAATGAGAAAGAAAACTTGTAATTAACGTAACTTCTGTTGCTGTCTGAGCATACAGTACCTCCTGAAGTAAAGCACAAAATCCAAAGTGGAAATACTCAGTCTTTTCTCTTCATTCTGCTTTTTTTGGTTTATGCTTAATTTCTATTCTATGATTTTTCTCTTACAAGAATAAGGAGATGCTATTTAAAAACAATGCAAATAGGTTAATGCTTGAACTTTGTTTAAGGTTTTAATATTTCAAGTAGATGGTGCCCTGTTTAAAAAACTAAACTCTGCCGCAGGTGACTTTCCTTAATAGTATTTGCATATCAATGTTCTGGTTGTCTGATGGGCACGTAGCAGAATAACTGCTACAGGATAATGAGGGATGAGGAATTTCTCTCGATCTTTCCTAGAAGGGCTTAACACAAATTAGTAACATTCTGGAAATTTTGAGATACTAGAAAATATTAATAAAAACATTCTAGCTTCCATATCTTTGTGTTCCCATAAGAAAGCCAGAATGTAAATGAATGTGCATACATTGTCCAGGCTGATGAAACAGTTTATTTCTGTACATTTTCCTCTCTCCTCCCCTTCCACCTCAGTATTGCTGTATGAAATGCCACAAACAGCACACGTCTAGGAATCCTGCCTCTGACTTTGAAGTCTGCAGCTGTAACCACAGGGTTTCCCTTGCTCTGCCTTTCTGCACCTGGGTACACTCTCTCAGATACGCTTGTGTCTTGTACACTTGTGTAGCATGGGGCAAGAGAGATCAGTGCTTTACACAGGACACTGAGGATGGCAAGAGCAGAACTGTGGTGTTCAGTCTTTTCCCACCTCTCTGTGTGATCCTGAGCCAGACACACTTCTGTTTTATTCTTCAGCACCAGTTCTTGTTTTGCAGGAGATATGTGGGGATGTGTTTGAAGAGTACCATAGGCTTTGTAAAGCTGGGCTTTTCCGTGAGTGAAATTTTGAAGTTTCACTTCATTCGCTCCCTTCAGCGGCCCCCAGGCAGAGTTTCTAACTGCTAAGCTGGTTTTGTATCCTGTTCCTCTGTACAAACACATTGCATTTTTACTCACAGGGATATTGAGAAATACTGTAAATGTCATGTGTGCTGGAAGGTTGATGGAAGATTTGGAGAAGTCAGTCCTCTTATAGTCTGAAAACTGAACACCTGACCAGCCAGGCTCTGTCCTTGCTGGACTAGATAATTTCTGTTTCCCAGCACCTATAATTTTGTAAATTTTTTTTTATGCTTGTGCAAGAATATCTGCTTAAGTGTCCTAAAGTTTCCATGTGTATTTAATGCTGTCCACTGCCCACGTGTCATCCTTTGAGGTGGTTTCCTGTTGGTGGTGTAGTTTCAAATGGTCTTGTGTAGAGAGAATCTTGGTGCCCTCTGTTTAATTATCAATGCGCCTTCAGTTAAAAGCTGGGTTCTGGGTTTAGTAGTGCAGAGTATTCCCTCTAGGCCAGTGGTCCAGGAGGATAGCTTTTCATCTGGCAAACAAAGGGTTATTACTGTGTTAAGAAGACTAATTGTTAAACAAATTTCTTTGTCAGGAGGCTTTTGTGGGACTGGTTTTAGATGGTGTTAGTTTCCCAAATGCCAGTATTTTTTTTTTCTCCCCCCCCCCCCCCCCCCCTTTTTATTTCTCTCTTCATTCTGTCCAAGTGTGTGCAAAAACCTAGCTGAAGTGGTCCTTCTACCGCAGGGGTGCATGAATGACTTCATTGCTTTGTACCTGTCCCTCTCAGAAGACCTTTGTGTATCCTTTCAGGAGCAGATACACATCAATGTAGGAGTGGTCATATTATCATTTCATAAATTTATTGAGTTCTGCCAATGCAAATGAGTTCTTGTTCATTTTTTCCTTTAAGTCTCTCCCTCTGAATGCTTGTTTGCTTGATGATTAGTTATCACTTAAAATGTTTTCTTTCTGTGCCAAAACACTTCAAAGCCTTTTCCTACTTTTTTTTTTAAGTATCAATGGAAGGTATCCTAGATCAACTTTCTTCTTGATACTAAGAGGAATTAACCTTTTCTAAAATCTGAGACAGCAATCCTTAATTGTCCTTCAGTGCTTTTTCTATACTTTTTTCAATTTGGCTTGAATGGGCATGATGTAGACCTGTGTTCAGTATTCCAGATTAAAAAAAAAATTGCCGTGCTGCTTATTTTGTAATTGTTTAAATGTATTTTTGTAAATCCTTTTTTTTTTTTTTTTTTTTTATATGTGGATATGTGGAATGTATTTGATCTGGAGAACTTAACTGAATGAATATATGTTTCTTCCTGTAAAAGACCAGTTCATTGGGGGAAGAGTGAGTTAATCACTGTCAGAATAATGCCAGAATAGAATAGTATTGTGACTTTGTGAAAGTTGTATTTATTACATTATATAATCGGTATAGAGTGGGTTTCAAAATATATAAATTGTGGTATGACAAATGCTCTAAATGTTGGGATTTAATAAAACTTGATTTGCTTATCAAGAAAGATGATTCTAATGACCTTTTATTTTGTACCAATATTTATTGTAGCACTTCATGCTGCATATTTTATCACACTAATTCTATTTACCAACAAAAAGCGACTGACAATAAATGTGACTAGTTTCGGAAAATCTTACCACCCACACTGCTAAGTGTGAGGCATGGTGGAAGGTGGGAAAGGTAAGGCCGCTATTAAATTTGCATAATGCCTACTAGGTGGAAGAAGTGCAGGCTGAAGAGATGAGGATGTGATGCAGAGAAAAGGACGACTGCAAAGACAGAGAAAGGATACTAAGTGGATTTTTTGGAAGGAGTGGAAGAAAATGAGTGTTTTGTGGTTCAGAGATTTAGGGTAGAGAAGGGGGTGTTCCATGTTTGAAGGATCTACATAAGAGATACTAGAAATCTTCACAGGTGGAGGGGTTTATTGAGGATTTGTATCCACATTTGTTTGCCTTCTAAATAAGAAAAAAACCTGATTTGTAAATTTGGAGAATGAGAGATTCTAGCCACTGTTAAATAGTTTTGTGTGCTGAAGCTCTGAATGTTTCTCCTATATTGAGGGACATATGCATTTAAAAATGTTGCAAGGTTGCAAAAGTTCTTACTTGATTTAAGAAATGACAAATTATTTAGTTCTTCACTTTTGCCTGCAAGTATGTTCTGAGCATATAAGATGCAACATTATACCATTGACTCTAAGGGTCTGATTTTTCAGCTGGGTGTTAATATGATGTGGTATGAATGAGCTGGCATCCTAAACAGTGTGCAGTTAATTTGTGTGTGTTGAATCTGCTTGCCATACTAGCAGACCCACTATCCCATCTCCTAGGGAGATACAGGGAATCAATTCCTGCTATATATTCATAATCGTGAGTACACAATGTTGACAGAGCCAGACGTAAATTCATGATGAGAACTACTTTGTTTCCGTTGCAAGCCCTGGTCTACAAGCAGTGGGTAGAGTTGTGCACTGACAATAGAAGTGCTGAGTAATTGATCATGAAGGGAAGTCTGTTTACAACAGGTAATAAATGAGGTGAATCAGAGCAAGTACTCTGGAAGCTCCCGCCCTCTCCTTGCCCTCGTGATAATACTGTATCAGGAAATGTATGTGTAAGGACGGTGATTTACAGTTATGGTCACAGCTTTAAAAGGGTGGCTTCTTGATGGTAACTGGTTCATTGATGATCACTTTCATAATTAATACCTTCTTTTCATTGTTTTGTTCTTTTAAAGAAGTCTTGTTTCTATGCCAGAGGTGTCTGTCCCCTGAGGGTGGAGCTATGTAAACAGTTGATTCAACGTTTCTCAGCAGTTATCTGCAATAAATGGAGCAAGTGTCTTTTACATAAGCCTCTTGTCCTGGTTAGTCTAAATGAGGGGGCTAAAATCCTCTTTCAGAGGGGAAAAAACAGCAATTTATTTTGACTCTCCTTTACTTCCAGGAATAATAGTTTTTTAATGTGCTTGTTTTCCCTAATACTCTTCTTCTCTACAAATATTTGAACACTACAAATTCCAAGGAGGAAGAAGACTACAGTGTGTTGCAACTGTGATAAAGGTATTTCTTCAAAGAAAATCTAAAATAAAGTTGTGGGAAATGTCTTAAATGCACATAGCAATCCAAAACATTCTGTCAACAGTGAACAAGTGAAATTGTCTGTGTGCTGGACATACAACAACAGATGTGAGAAGATACAGCCCTGAGCTGGCAGGGAAAAAAGAACTGCAAGGGACTGACCAGTATTGCATACGGGAAGCTTTTTAAGACCGATTGCAAAAACATGGACCCATTCTTAACATTACTTAACAAAGAGTTCCATGAAAGTTGAAATAAATCTTGACTCAACAGAAGTATGGATGAGCCAGGTCTCCTCAAAATCAGAACCTTACAGAGCTGAGAAATACAAACCAACTGCCCGAAGGTTGGGATTCTCCCTGGGAAATTATGTTGCTGTAGTAACTCCAGGCTGTTAAATCTCAAGTAAATTACCACTGCAGCTTCCTCTTTTTTTTTTTTTTTTTTTCTTTTTAAATAGTAGTGCAGGATTGTGTTGCTGCGCTTGGGTTCTGTGTTTGGTTTAGTCCTGATCGTTTTGAAGCTCTCAGCTCTGCGTTAATGCTGTGACTTGTCACAGTGTCCTAGAGGAAAAAACATCTGAAGAATGTGAAACATCTGCTTAGTGCTCTTAAGGGCGAATGGTTTCCTTTGAGGATACAAACAGTACAATTTCATCCTAATGGAGAACACCCAGGAATCAAGATGCAGGTTACAAATTAAAGATCAGCAGAAAGTCACATGTTTTAATTGAAAGTAAATGAAGCAGATGGTACATACCTGTGCATCGGCTGCAGTGGTAATTTACTTGAGATTTAACAGCCTGGAGTTACTACAGCAACATAATTTCCCAGGGAGAATCCCAACCTTCGGGCAGTTGGTTTGTATTTCTCAGCTCTGTAAGGTTCTGATTTTGAGGAGACCTGGCTCATCCATACTTCTGTTGAGTCAAGATTTATTTCAACTTTCATGGAACTCTTTTTTAAGTAATGTTAAGAATGGGTCCATGTTTTTGCAATCGGTCTTAAAAAGCTTCCCGTATGCAATACTGGTCAGTCCCTTGCAGTTCTTTTTTCCCTGCCAGCTCAGGGCTGTATCTTCTCACATCTGTTGTTGTATGTCCAGCACACAGACAATTTCACTTGTTCACTGTTGACAGAATGTTTTGGATTGCTATGTGCATTTAAGACATTTCCCACAACTTTATTTTAGATTTTCTTTGAAGAAATACCTTTATCACAGTTGCAACACACTGTAGTCTTCTTCCTCCTTGGAATTTGTAGTGTTCAAATATTTGTAGAGTGTTATCTCACTCAGTTGCTTCATTTAATGACAGTCTAGGGATAGGCATGTTTACTCAGCAATTTCTTCTTCCAGTTTTCAGGAGAGTGTGTTTTTTCTTTTTACTGTGTCCAGTAGTTTGTACTCTTGTTCTTTTGGCCTGTGACACGTTACACTGGCTCCTTTTTGCTGTCCTGTTGCATTAAGAGTATGCTTTTGATTCGCAGTTGTGTCCAGGTGTTTGGCCATGCGTGCCTGCTACATTTCACTTTTTCCATTGCTTTCTCTTTACTCTTCCTGTAGTTGTACACACTATTGTAACAGAATTGTTCACCAGTTAACAGAAAGAAGTGATTTCATGGGAAAGTTCTTCAAAACTCTGTGGTCTGTTGGTGTCTACTTTGGGGAGATTTCCTGAGATGTTGAACGGCTCTCGTGTAGTGAGGGTCACTTGGGGTTATATGGCGGTCTACATCTCTCTTGCCTTTCTAAATACATCACTTTTGTTTCATGTAACCAGCTTCCTAATTGTGAAGCCCCATGCTCAATATGGGACAGGGCAAGGCCCATCTTTTCAAGAACAAGGCTGGTGTCCTTCAACAGCTTCTAATTTATGCTATTCAAAGGTGTGTTTCATTTGGACTAGTACAATGTCCAATGAATCATGATGTTTGTTTGGTTGACTTTTGACTTACTTTCTGATAGGTATGGAGAGCTAACATTACATTTCCTGACTTGTGATTTTACCTCATAAATCCCCATTGATCTGTCATTGAAGGGATTTTTTTTAACCTGCTCAGTAATGAATCTAACAAAATGCAAGGTCATAGAACATGAAGACAACCAACCAACTATTCAATGGTGTGTGAAGGACAAAAGTAGTACTGGTGACAGGGATGCCAAAGATGTGCGAGAGATGCAAGAGGAGACGTTAAGGTTTATTTTTAAAAAAATAAAAGTTAAAGGTTGTGAAAGACGTAGGGCTGTGCACTCAAAAAAGGTCTTCTGTTTTTCGTGGTTTTTAACAATCATAAGAATTACTGCTGTTGGTTATAGTAGTTAAAATCTTGCTAAGATCATAGGCTCACTTGAGGAGTAATCGCATGCTCCTGAAATTATGGTATTTTTCTTATGGCTAGGAAGTGCAGATTCTTGATTTACCTGGTTCTTTTTTAAGCTCACTGGTTTGGGTGTGCTCAGCTGCAAAAGCATTGAAAGTAAGACTTTCTACAAAAATTACTATTTTTTAGTGACTTACATGTATGTATGCAGTTTGACAGACGGATCTATTAAGCAGTTCTGTACCTCCTAGAAACTAAGCTTTCAAACGGGTGTGTATTAGTGCCCTGGAGCATTTAGAATGTGGCGTTTGTTCCTCAAGAGCTCCCAGCTGGCATTTGCTTCTAGACTTGAGTGTGACTTTGGATTGGAATTAGGGTTGTGTTTTCCATCAGTTTAGTGAGTTGGAGCATTGAGTTCAAAGTGTTGGCATTCACCGGATCTCCCCTAATTAATTTCTTAACACTTGCACTGGTGTAAGCAACTGCAAAATATGTCACCATAGAAAGATGGTATTACATACTCGTTAGAAGTAGAGAATGCGTGTGGCATATTTTGGTGTAGTAGGGAATCCTGTCATTGCTGAGTGATTGGCAGATGTATTGTAGTCTTCTGGTGTGTTAGGCTCAGGTAGGTTATATGTAGCTTGTGGAGAGCCATTCACCATCAGTTATTTTCACACCGTTGCACCTTCTGTTGTAGACAGCCCACATATGTTGTATAGACTGTTCTCCGTGTCTTTCAAGGCAGAAGAAGATTATATTGTGAGTTGTTTCTTTTATTTTCTTTTTTTTTTGTACACAGGCTATACCCCAGAGGAGTTTTGGGATTGATTATGACTGTGACTGCTTTGTCAAGGATGGGAGACCTTTCCGTTACATCTCAGGTAGCATTCACTACTCACGAGTGCCCCGGTATTACTGGGAAGATCGCCTGTTGAAGATGAAGATGGCAGGACTTGATGCCATTCAAACGTAAGTAGCTGTTGACTGTCAAAGTGATTTGTAGTCCTGGGAGATGTGTGAGAAGTGGTTAAGTGGAATGCTACCATTGTTACTTGGTTTATTACTTTTTAAGAAATAGATGAGAGCGCTCCAGAGAAGTGAAGGGTGGTACAGGATGACCTCTAACAGCATAGACTGGGACAGTTGGGCAGGTAGTAGCTAACAGTCCACTTCCCAGATGTTAGGTGGCAGCTCTTGCTTCACAGCTCAGGGTGCAAATGTGACCTGAAATAAATTGTTGGACTGTGAACTTTGGCAACTACGAAACAGTTGTATGTGCTCTGCCTCTGCCAAGGGCGTTGTAATCTCTGGTCAAAAGGCAGAGGAGGTGAGAGGGAACAATAACCTCTTAATACAACCTAGGTTGTATCGCTCTGAAGCCTTGAAAATATTGGCACAGGCTGCCATAGTATTTAAAGCTATTTCACTAGGAGTGTTTAAATTTCGAAAAATGGTTGGGAACTAGGTGTACTTCTTTAAAAAAAAAAAAAAGACAGTTTAAACAGCTTTCAGTTGCATGTACCAAACCTTCAGTCCATCCTTCTTGTCTTTCTACTTGGTTGTGTACTTATTAAAACAGGTGAGGCACAGATTAAAAAAAAAAATGCGGCTTACTCTTATTTCTGCCAAAGCTTCCTTGACAAGGGAAGAGTGGGAGAAAAGTGTAAGGCACAGTCTTTTCAAGCAGTGATTGTAATTCCCAAACACATTTGTCTTTTTTCCTAAATCGTTACAAGGCTTAGAGCTTCTCTTTGAAAGAGACTGCTTGTGTGCTGTGAACTGCCAGACAGTGTTGATTCTGGCAGTGCAGAGCCTGTAGGCCAGGGTGCTTTTTTACATTTTCATGTTACCCCAAACAACTCTGTGGTTTTGGTAAAAATTAAAATTGGTCTAGATGATTATTTAGGGGTTTTCTTGTGTTTTTTCTTCTTCTGCCTACTCTTTACTGGATCAGTAAAACGACTAGCAAGGGATGGAGATACCAGTTGTGTGAAGTTGTTCTGGAATGGGCAGCAGCCCTGCCAGACCTTCTGGCAGAATGTGGTGGTTGGACTCCTGATCTTGGGGCCACCTCTGAAGACTGTGATTTTGCTGCCTGGGGTTTGTTGCATGAGACATGGAAAGGTCTTACTATAATTTGAAATACGGGACCCTTTCTTGTTCTTATCAAGGTGCTCCCAGTGAGGCTTACCACTTCAAGGGAAACAGAATCACAGAATGGTAGGGGTTGGAAGGGACCTCTGTGGGTCATCTAGTCCAACCCTCCTGCTGACTCAGGGTCACCTACCA